TTTCACTGGCAGATAGCTGATGTTATAAGGAGTAACTTAGTCTTATTTTTATTTTAGAATAAGCATTGGAGTCCTTTGCAAAAAATTCAAATCCACGAAATTAAATCGTAATAAATTTCACGCAAACGAAGTCGCGGGGAACAGCTAGTACTCAATAATCGTGACGGAAACTTTTCAGCGCCATTTTATGTCGCCCACATCGGAAATTAAAAGTGTAAAAGCAGATTTTAAATGAACGAATGGGTAATTCAGCAAGAAGAAGCAAGAGATTAATCGCCTTAAAGAAAAGAAATTAAAATTAAAATGAACATAAAGTAGAATGTTCAAAAATCGTTACTGTTGTAATTTAAAAAGCTTTTTTAGTTGACTGGCTTTTAAAATGTCGTTTAAGTAAAATACAACTTAAGGTTTTTAAGACACTGCACTTAATACTACTAATATACTAATGTCAAGGAATGCTATTTGCAATAATTCTGTTCCCTCTTACCATAGAGCAGCATGTACTACCGGCGGATCGGAAGTGAGTAGCCATACACAGACGTTTCCCTCTGTCAAATTATAAAGTGGTAATATGTCTTCAAAAACGTCTTTTTGTTGTAGCATGGTGCGGATGACAAGTTGACAGGTCACTAGATCGTAACTTGCGTGCGTTTGCTAGACACGCAAATTAAAATCTCACCTAATGAATTTTGGTACTAATAAAATTATAAAAATTTAATTTATTTATCTTACGTGATAAGTTACGTATTATGCTTACCGACGGTAATTTTTTTGTTAGAACTTCAAATAAACAAACGCAACAATTAGCGAAAATCAACTTAACAAAACGCAACAATAAATTCATTAATCGAAAGTAAAAGCAATGTAAACTAAACTGGAAATTACAAAATGGCCGATAGTACTTCATACAAAGTGCTAGAAACTAGCATAGATTTTACATATACATTTATTTATGATTACACATATATAGCGAAAGGTGCTAGCACTCGTACGTTGTAAAGCTGCAGGTGTAGTCAACACCGTACTGAAAATCACAGGTCCTGACAGTAATACTTTTTTATTTATTTTTATAAGATATCTGTTTTAATATCAGGAAAAATGTTACACTTAAAATAAAATAGAACATGATTTTATTTTCAAATTCTCTCTCTCTCTCTCTCTCTCTCTCTCTCTAGTCGTTCCCTCACGACTGAGGATCGTGATCACCATCACGGAGAGTAAGCTTATTGTGTATGATCTGTCTCCACCGGGTCCTATCGCTGGCCATACGAAGAGCGTCTTAGAAATTTAGCGCACCGACTTCCTTGCCTTGGTCAGACCACCGGGTTGGAGATCTACCTCTGGGCCTTCTTCCCTCTACGTTTCCAACAACTATAAATTTCTCAATACTTTCGTCCCGGCCGCGAGAGATATGACCAAAGTAGCTGAGGATGCGCTGAAGACATGTTGTGGGAAGACGCGTCTCGATCTTGAGTTATGATGGGATTGACACGTTTGTGCGCTTCGCAGTCCACGGTATTCGCAGCATTCGCCCCCAGCACTACATTTCGAACGCATCAATTTTCTCCCTTTCTCTGACGCATATAGTCCGTATTTTCAAATTAAGACGACACATTGAAAATAAACGATTAAAATGGCTCCGCCTATTGCACTCCGCGCCCCGCTTGCGACACTCGTCACTCGGTTCCTAAAATTTCAAACTCGCGCCAAATGCTCAATCGGAGGTCAACGTGCGATATCCTATACATTTAATTGAGCAATTTTATATATATATATATATATATATATATATATATATATATATATATATATATATATATATATATATATATATAATCGGAATCTCGGAAACGATTCCAACGATTTTCATAACATTTAGTGTCCAGGGAGTTTCGGGGGCAATAAATCGATCTAGCTAGGATTTATTTTTAGAAAATGTCCTTTTGTCCGTGTTTTCAGGCAATAAAAAACTGCTACAATATAAGAAGGTAAATTTTGAATTTTGACAGACTACTAACGACGTGGGATGTCGGTCGGGCGTGATATCGGAGTTCCGTGGTTCGCGTCCTGTCTTGGGACCGACTTTTTTCCTTTGTTTTTCAAATTCCCTTCTTTTGTCAGAAAATCTATTATTTTGAGCCCTTTTTTTTAGTAATTTTTAAAAATAAGAAAAATTTTAATTAAACTAATTGCACTCATGATTTTCATTCAAATAACCAGTTCAGTTTTTTCTATTATGACAATAAAATCAAAAAATATTATTCACGTAATTTGTATCTAAATATAACTTAAAAAAAAACCGAGCAAAGCTAGGTCATCCGGGTACTACAGAAAGGAAAAAGCAAGCGTCGGAGTCGCGACACACTATTATTTTTAATATTTTGCATCATTTATTGTCTTGTTGTATAATAAAATTCGTCATGTAAAGTCGTCATGTTAGTTTATTGAAATAATAACTAAGTCATAATTTTTAAAACTGATATATTGTATAACAGAATTTGTAACTACGTTTTTAATGATATTATATTCCACTTCTTTTTAGGGCCATTATGCACATTTTCTTTATTTTTCTTTTTTGTTACATTATTTGGATCCCGAATTTGTTTATTACGAGTAAGTCGTGATTCTACCAATTCCGCTAGCAAGCAGTGAAAATAAAGTGAAAGTAGTTTTTCTCCATTTTGTCCTTCCAAAATTGGTCATCCTTTACTATTGTTTCCACTTTGATTTAATAACGTCTATACCATACTGCCAATAAGCATTTAGATATTTCGGAAATATGCACCTGTCTTTGAACTTGCATGTACCAATCGTAATTTTTGTTCACCTGGATCACACCGCTTTTTTGTTTACCCGCCAGAAATGCATTTTTTCTTGTATTATGACTTCGTCAATACCTTGTATGCAATTATGGAACTTGTGATTTCAAACAGGGTGTTACTTCCTATAAAACTGTCAGGCGTTGCTTCAGGCGATTTTTGTCACATGTACTAAGTAATGCGAATTATCTAAATGGCTAAGTTGCTTGAATCATACTGAATCTAGGTAGGCAGGTAATGTTCTTTATAATTAACTACAGACATACGTGACGCTAAAATGCTATTAAAATATTTACAATGATATTATTTACCTTGACTTGTTCGTCTCCGTCATTCTAAGAACATTTTTTTTTCAAATTGCCTTTTTCTCCTATGTATTTTTTTCTTAGTATTTCCCATTACCACAAACAAATTATTTAAAGTACTTACTTATACTAATAATAATTTCCTATTATAATAATAAATCTGTTCTACAACTATAGCTATTTATAATAATAAAGATATATCTATAAGAATAGAGAGTACAAGTGAACGACTTGCGTAGGTCCTACATTGTGGCGGCCTCTCACCGGGCTGGCCCGCGTGAGTATATAATTTCTATAAAACTTTTAAATGCCGTCATAAGGTGGAAAACGTTACGAATACATTTGAGTGATTCCCAAGCATATAGATTAAGTAATTTGGTTGTAATTTCAACTATAGTGATTTTTAGAGGTGTTTTCGCAAATAATTGTTATCGAGTCAAAATTATACAATCGTGTTTTTGAGCAAGCAAATTCAAGATAAAGACATGAATTTACTTATATCAAAATTTCAGTTTCGTTAGTCGTGTCATAGACCCATACTATTCGATGCAAGGAGGTGCATTTTATCAAGGTGTCGTAGATAATATGCAACACTAATGTCTTATTTCGTATAAAACTGTAACAAAAATTTATATAAATTACAAAATATTTATAAAGAAATATACGTTCCGGTTTTAATTTCTCTATCGATAGTTAATCGATAATTTTTGCTTTTCCTTTTGTATTATTAATGACCTTTTTAAAATCGATTTAATATTCTTCCCTCTTTACACATACTATACTGTAAACTGTCACTCGCACCATGCTATAACGTAAAGATTATTCAGTTGTGCGAATAGATTGACGTTATACAAATATGCAAAATTATTTAGTTCTTTGCTGCAAAAAGAAATCCGGCACGTTGCAAATTTACAAAAAAATGGCATTGCCTTTCATGTATAAGTAATTTATAATCACTATATTGCTATTTCCTTCTTCGTAAACTTGAAAATTACATTAAATAACGGTGGTGTTGTTTTGGATTTACCAAAACCGGCCGCTCACCTTTATACAATATGTAGATCACTCGAGCGATTTATCCGAGTTGTCGCTGTAACCGAGCGACGAGCGATAGTGTTATAATTTATCTATGAGTGTGTGTGACATTTATAGTTAAATGTTGTCATTGTTACGTGTGAGTTTCGTATTGACAAACGATTATTTTTGTGTACGCAAAAATTTACAAACAGTTTTGTATCTGAGAATAACGCTACTCTCTTCTGATCAGCCGGTGGCCTTTGTTGCTCTATTCTTGTCACCTTTGTTATAAGGTGTAAAATAAATCGAATAAATAAAAAAGAAAGAAAAAATTTAAAGAAATTTAAAAATAACGGAATTATGAGTATTAAAAATTTAAATTTTAAAACATATAAAATAATACTGGGATCATTTTTTGTGTTTTATTTTTAATATAAATTCAGATATTACATTATATTACGTTTTCGTACTAACATACATTTTATAATTGCAATCTAAAACTCCAATCGTTTTGTGTGTGAGCGGTAAGCTTTCAGCGATCTTTCATCACGGTATCCTTTCAGGTTGACCGCAATGACCATATAATACTATAAATACACAATATTATAGTATTCTATGGCAACGACGGAACGTTCCGTATATGGGACCCATTAATGACTAAGTTCACTTGGGTCGGCAATAATAATGAATATTTATAAAATATTTTTATGTATTCGATTTATGTTTTATTACTCAAAACAAATAATTGTTTTTAAAGAGCAAAATAAAATATTAAGCTTTGTGGTAATACGCTATGATGTATGCAAAATAAAAAATCTCATTACATAGTTGATATTTTTTAAATAAAAAACATTTAATTTTAGGCTGCGCCGTTAATTCCTAAATTTTTGTTGATTTTAAAGTTAATGGAATTTTCTGCTATGTTCACTGGGCCTTCAGTGACCTCTTCGATGCTACTCTGTTCATCGGGAAACTGTACGTGTTTTTTTACTGCAGAGTGTGAAATTTTCGAAAGTGCGGAAGCTGTAAAATAATATATATTTTAATTTTATTTTAACAAAAATATATTATTACCGTGTTATTAACGTGTATATATACACATGTATATACACCTTTATATATATATATTTTTTTTTTTTTTTTTTGTGTAGATTCTTATTAACATCCCAAAATTATAGAAAAATGCTGTCCTATTTTAATTTCCAAATAATTAACAAACAAAAACTATTGTAGCATTATGTTAACTGTCAGCATTTGATAACCACTTTAGAGATATGAATATTACTTCTGCTGTAGTAATAAATGCATTTTTTATTAATGCTGTAGATAAAATATAATTTTGTGACTCACTATTAGCCTTTGTGCTTCTTGGGGCCTCTGAGAACTCCTCGGGATCACAACTCGGCATGGGCTTTCCGGCGGATCGACGACGACCACTCGGGGCAGAGCTGGTGGTGGTGGTATGCTGGGCAGTGGCAGTGTATTGCACTGCGGCGAGCTAAAATTGGAATATTATTTAAAGTATCAAATTCCTCAATGTGTCACGAATTATAAAGAGAAAATTCATTGTCAATGCTATAAGATATCGCATCTAATATTAAAATTCCAAACATTAATAGAATGTAAAAGAAATTTATTTAAAACGAATTTGATACTAATTTATATAGTTTATTAACAATTTATTATTATAAGATACTTTCTATTTATTTATTATTAAGTACATTACAACATTGTAGAAATGTTGTAAACATGGATTATTTTACTTAAGAAGCTAGGTTTAAATACTGATATTTCATAACATATTATATTAAGTATATCTAAGTCAAGAATATTAATTATAGCAAAGCAGGTTAATTGAAGTACAAATCATATAATACATTTTGAAACATGCCTGGCACACAAAATTAATTTCGCCAAATAACATTGCATTCAGCTAGACATTTATAGCAAAGCGCACAGCGACAATTCTTGAAAATTTTAACTGCAATTAATATCTGGTGAGAATCTCGCGAATAGATCTATCACATCTTATCGCAGAGCTATTTACTGGTTTAGAGTGTAGTTGCAAGTGCAAACGGGTGCAAATGTGTAAATATATGTATAAATATATTTATTTTATTTATTTTTATGTAATGGAAAACCAACAGCTTCCAAATCTTAAATAAATAACATGTTAAATTTACAGGAAACCGATAACAGGTTCTCACTAATAGAAATACACTAGCATAATCTTTCGTCGTTTAAAGACATAGCACAATTATGAGCAACAAAATATGGAGTCTAATTTAAACGTACAACGTCATAAATTTAATAAGTGAAACTAACAATAATAGCCACAAAGGAAAAGAAAAACAGGGCTAAACGCACAACATAATTGTTCTTAAAGTAAATTAAATTACGACACAAAAAACTCTCGACTTAATGCCCTACTTGCCGATACATAGCTAGTATTAAACAAATCAAAATCATGCTTTTTGCATAGATTATTAAAAATATTACTAGACCGATATAAGAAAGTATTTTTTCCGTAATTAGTTGATGAAGCTGGTAAGTAGAGTAATGCATTCGTTCTAAGGCTAACCGTAGGTGTTCTCAGTGATATTTGTGATAGCAAATCTAAGCAGTCAACATTTCCAGAACAAATTTTCAATAAAAATGCAATGTCAACAATCTCCCGATGCTTTATCAAAGGTAACAGATGATGCTGTTTGCATAAAGATATATAATCTTCTGAACGGTATTTTCTATGGGTACGATAGCAAAGATATCGTATGAATTTACGTTGAATACTTTCAATCCGTGAAATGTATGTAATGTATTATTATATTGGATTCCAGACTTGCAAAGCGTATTCAAGCGTACTGCGGACGTAAGTGGAGTACAATATTTTAATTGTTTTAATGTTATTAAACTCCTTAGCAGTACGCATAACAAAACCTAACGCCTTAGATGCCCTAGCTATGATATTGTCAACATGGTTGTTAAATAATAACTTAGAGTCGTAGAAAATCCCTAGATCACGTACAACTGATTGTTTTTGTAGCTTCTGACCTTTAAGGTGATAGCCGATATTAATTAGGTTTCGCTTGCGTGAATATGTAATGAGGGTCCATTTTGATGGATTTTGTTCAATCTTATTAATAGTACAGTATTCCTCCAATCTTATAAGATCTTCCTGCATTAATTCAGCATCAGCCTGCGATGAGATTGTGGAAAATATTTTCATATCATCAGAAAAACACAGTAGGTGTGATGATTTAAAACAGGTTTCAATATCGTTAACAAATATCAGAAATAGCAACGGTCCCAGCAAGGACCCCTGTGGTACGCCACTTGGTATTGACACCCAACCTGATATATAATTGTTAACAACTACATCTTGCGAGCGATTGTCGATATAAGAGAATAACAACGGCAGTAGGTTTCCACAGATACCATACTGAAGTTTAAAAGCAAATTATGTTCAATCCGGTCGAAAGCCTTACTATAATCTATATAAAAAACGTCAACTTGATGACCATCATCCATGGTTTTAGTCAATATATATATATATATATATATATATATATATATATATATATATATATATATATATATATATATATATATATATATATATATACCTATTAACACATAGTACTACATACTTTTCTTTCATTCCAATATAAGATAAAACTAATGCATTCTATATATAAGACACAAATGTTCATAAACATTGAAAAACTCTGTACTTCCAAATTAAATAGGGTGTACATTTTGCGAAATACATATATGAAACTAGACTGCAACTTGATATGTCGGCGGTCGATGTAAACATGCTTACGCTTGCAATATACTGCACTTGCAACTACTCGCTTGAAACACTTCTCAAACTGTCGCGAGTGCTCTTGCTACGTTGTTTCAATCTACAAGATACTGTCCAACTGTTAATCGCACACTTATTGTAGAAGTTTTCATGCAGGTTAAAACATAGTAAAGAAACAAATCAAAAAGAAAGAAAACATAATCTAAACTAAACATTTCAATCCATCAAAATAATTAAATTATTGAACTAAACTGACATTTATTGATTAGTTATTAATAAATCATTCCACAAAAGACTATAGGTTGGATTCATTTTCATTAAACATAAATCGTGTACTTTGTTTCATTCAACATATAACATAATAAAATACAAAAATCTTACAACGGGACTATCCCTTTATTAGAGCGCGAAGTAAAATCTCTCGACTAAAGGGACAAATAAGAAAGAACAATGAATTATTCATTATCGAAAATAATAATATAATTAAAATGACGAATTGAAAATATTTATTGCAAACTCGATAGCTCGAATTTCAAGTGATATGGTAAAAATTCGAGTAGGTAAATAAGTTTTCGACTTAACAATAGTTTAGAATTTTTTCCCAAATATTAACAATAGATACACAGATACAGTTACTTAGACACTATGTACACACGACATAACAGCGGCAACAAACGTTTCGTTTGGATGTTATTGCTATGAGTTCAGGAAATTCCAAGTAAGACGTCATTATGTTTAAGTAACTAACTTCGAAATACGGAGTCTGTTTTTTGAAATTCGAGTTATAGGAGTGTAAATATGTACTATCAATACCGCGCAGGGAAATAACATTTTGTTCTAGATACAAAGACTAAATAATTCTAGGTATCGGGTATATTTTGGTTTAGGGAAAGGCAATTGCAATGTTTTCGTCTTACTGAGGACAACGACACAACAAGGTTCGAGTAATCGAGATTCTACTTTTTTTCTTTATATAAGTGTCATAACGCGGCTTTTTAGTTTTTATCAAATAATGCCGTTAGTGTTATCATTTCTGATGACGTCAATGCTAATGAATAAGTGTACAAAAACAAGTACAAGTTAGTTGTACCGGTTACCCGACTTCAAAGAGTCACTAACTTCTTCATGGTGGGATGTATATGCTTTTACAAAAAAGCCCCAAAAATATCCAGGACCTAAATATCAAAAAATATAAAAACTTTAATAAGCAAAAATTGTTTTATAAGGCTTATTAAACTACTAAAGTTAAAAATGTTAAAAAAATCCCGCTGTGCTTGGCATGTCATAATATTATTAAAAACCTTTGAGGTGGAACAAAAACTTAAACTATTGCACAGCCACTAATCGGCTCTAGATAGCAAACAAACTGTAATAAATAAATATATATCAAAGATTATTTATCTTTAAGTAAAATTGAATTGGGTGCAACAGATATTTACTAATGAAATGTGAAAAAAATGAAAGAAATGTGCAGTGGCGCTTAGCAGTTGACTTAACAACAATGGTTATGACCCACCCTGTCCGATTCATCAAAAGCAGCGGTACCACGACCTTTTAAGTACTCTTGAAACTGTGATATTACGCAAAACATGGCATAAATCTGTAAGAAACAATGTTATAGCATATTATATTCTTATCATTAACAATATTTTAGTTAATTGATGTTTTTGTTTGGTGGGCCAGTTTATAACCAAAACACTGAACCTTTCTTCTAAAATTTACAACATATTACAACACACACACACACACACACACACACACGCGCGCGCACGCACGCACGCACGCACGCACACACGCACGCACGCACGCAAGCACGCACGCACGCACGCACGCACGCACGCACTGTTAGGTGGGCCGCTCTGAAGGTATTTTTAAAAAAAACTTTTTACACCCAATCCCGGAAGTTATTTTGGTTTATTTCCCCAATATTAAAATAATACAAAAAATGTACAAAAGCCGCGAATGGCGTTTGCGATCTTAATATGGGTTAAAACTGCACTACATCGATTAAATCAAACTCTAGGCTTTTATACTAAATATAATAATCGAGTCAGCGCTTTTATCTAACTAGGGTTGGACATAACATCTCCCCCCCTTTTGACGGAGCTCATCCTTCTTTTTAATAAGGGATGAGCAAAGTCTTACAAACAATAGAGTGAAAGAAAAAAAAATAATTTGAATACAAAAATAATAATAAAATAATAAAATAGTATTGGATCAATTATTTGTTATTATTATAAAATCATATTGAGTTAATGCAAAGGCATAGTAAAATTAAATTATTCTTAAAGAATATCTTCACAAAATTATTAAACTTATTTATTGACATTATGAACTAGTATATTTTTATAAGATTCAGTGAAAAATGAAATAGTAAAAGATTCAGTGTTAAATTAATGCTAAGATTTTTTTTCAAATACAAACATTTAATAATATTAATATCTAAGACACAGTGTATAAAACAAAAATATAAATTTAAATTCTAATGTAAAGTAAAACATTTTGATGTAAGTAGATATAGTAAAGTAGTATAGTAATTAATTATTACATAAATTTAGATTTGATAAGTTAAATTTACCAAATATTCTTTTCATTTGGTTTTGCACTAGCATGTTAGGTAAGGATATAGAATCCTTTTTATCATCGTCTGATGATGAGACTTCAGTTAACTCAATAGAAGTACCAACTTTCGATTCGTGTTTAACAATTCGCCGTGTATGTCACTGATTAAATATTTGTATGTAGCAGCAAGAATTATTATTTCTCTTAATAAATCAATAAAACATTTTATAGGAAATGTATAAAATAATGCAAATAATCAAGAAGTATGTAAATGATGAATAGTAGTTGCCATATTTTATAATGTGAGATTGTTTTTTAACCTTATTGATCTCATTTTCTAAGTTATTTAAGGAATGATAATAATACTTTAGAGTTTCCATGTTTAGGCCTAGTTAAAGATATAGGAGATAAGTATGGAATCGATTTATTTAAAACTTCTTACAGCAATCGTCCTCTGTAATATTAATGTTTAAATTTATTTTATTTTCGATTTTAATAGATTTAGTTGTAGATATCATTAATTGAATTGTCTTAGAGAAACCAATACAGCTTTCATTTAAACTTAGAATACCTGTTCCTAAAATAGTAAAATCTTGTATTATATTATTACATTTTATAGTTAATTTACATTTTTCAGACTGTACATAGATAAACTTATTATTTATTTTATACCATACATCGATTTGCCCATTTAAAATTTTAGAGTTACATTGAGATGTTAAATTGATAACGTTACTTCGGTTAACAATTTTGTTTCACAAGATGGGTTCTTTATTGTAGAAAATATAGAAATTAAAGGACATATAGAATAATCATTATTAATAATATTACAATCGTTTAAAACTATCTAGCAAACTATAACTAAGTCTGTCTTCTGTTATTCCAAGATGAGGCTTGGTAGGTTGGATTAGGGCGAAAGAGTTAGGATTATTAGGATTATGAGGGGTTGGTAAAGGTATGCATTTGTATAAGGTGAACTTTAAAGAAGAAATCAGTGGTATGCGTAATATGAAAAATATTCTTTTATTATAATAAAAAGATGTGAGTTTTGAAATATCTATCAGAGTATGTATATTTTCAATCGTTAATAGAACTGGAAAATCTAGTCGCTTATTTATGTAGTTACCCTGTTTTAATAGCTCGCTAAATAATTTGTAGGAGTTATCACACTAGGATGTAATATGTTTGCTTCAGAAAATAAGATAGAATTTAGTACATTATCCAAGAAATTAGAAATAGTGGCCAAGGAGCTTTCTATTATATTAAGTAAAGCATATATTCTAGAAATATGTGATAATTGATTATTATTTTTAACAATTTGGGATAACACAATATTTAAAGAATTTATTCGGGAATTTAATTTATTTTCATTCATATTTAATTTATATATCGTTGAGTTAAATGTATTAATAGAAGATTTAATTATGTGGATATTATCCTTCATTAGTTTTAAAAGTTCGGATTCGCTATTTTGACAAGCGCTAATCATCGTATTTTTGTGCGTCATCGGCATCTAAAGTTCCAAAAAAGAATTTCGAAATTTCTCCACCGAATTCTAAAGCTCGTTTATGCCTTGTTTGTTCCTCGGTAGGGACTATATGCGAAAGAGATTTATATTTATAGATTCATATATTTATAGATTCGAATTTAGCTAACTTAGAATTTAATAATACTTCATTAGGACTTATGATGTCATTACATTCAACGAAACCCCGGAGTTGGAAGTTTTCGCAGAGCGTTGCAGTTTTAATTATAAGCGAATATATATTCTCTAGATGTGGCTTAAGTGAAACTACGTCTATATGTGTTACAACATTCCAAAAATCGTTATAAAAATTAATTGTAGTTATTTGATAAAAATAAACACCTGGACTATTATAAATAGGTAGAATTTGAGTTTCAGCGTAGAATTGAAATAGAATTGGTGGTGAAATTACGGATGAGGTGGTTTAATTTCGTTAACATTGGTAACAGGTATTTTACGTGTTTACGACCTATGAGAAGGGTTACGTTATGTTTGCCATTTAATTTAATAATTTTATAAGGAAGTTTATTGCGAAGTCTATGGTGACATTTTAAGTAAACCATATCGCCTGTTTTGTAGGATATATCTTTGCTATTTTTGTCATAATAATTTTTCGATGTTTCTTTACTTTTAATTATCTGTTCTAATGCCTTTTGTCGATTATTAAATTCATGCGATATTGTAATGCGCAGATATATTCATGATAAGTTGTGTCATTGCTCATATTATATAAAGAATTAGGTATTGTTGGTTTATGCCCATATAGTAATTCATAGAGTGTACATGTAGTAGTGGTATGAGGGGTAGTGTTGTAAGAGAATACTGCGGTGGCTAAGTAACAATGCCAGTCATTCTGGTTTTCATTAACGAAAGATTTCACGTATTCTTTGAGTGTAGTATGGCTACGTTCTAGGACACCATTTGTTTGAGGGTGATAGGGAGTAGCATATAAGGGTTTTATTTTAAGCATTTGAGTTACCTGTTTAAATAATTCCAATGTGAAACATGTGCCGAGATCTGTTAATATCGTTTTAGAAATTCCAAACAAAGAGATAAAATGAACTAGTGTACGAGCTACTTCATCAGTGCTGGAAGTTATTATTGGGTATACACATAAAAACTTGGTTAGGTCATCTTGTAGGGTTAATATAAATTTAAAGTTTTGCAATCCAGCTTCGGGTAGCGGATCGACTATATCTAAAGCTAATCTTTCGAATGGTTTTGTACTTGTGGAGGTTATCACCATTGGAGCCTTATTACATGATCTTAGTGGTTTATTTACTTGGCATAATTTACAATTTTACACATAACTTTCTATGTTAGAACGCATCTTTTTCCAAAAATATAGGTCTTTTAAGCGATTTAACATCCTTTTAATTCCGGGGTGACCAGCAATTATTGAGTCGTGATTTTCTTTGAGAATTCGTGTTACTTCGGCAGGAGTAGGGTAAATAATTTGATTTCGGTATATATGAATTTTAATGTTACTATTGTGAAATATGTAAGCAATTATATTGCATATTTCCGTATAGGATATTTTAGAAAACTAGTCAGCAAAATCGGAAATGGCTAAGTCAGTGTTTTGACTATTTTCTGTTAAAATATTATCGCGTAATTGTATTAATAAATTATATATATTTCGGTACGTTAAGTCTTCGAAATGGTGAATTTTTGTATATAAGAAATAATATGTTTTATCATTTTCCTTAACATAAGAGATAGTGTACGGTTCTCGTTCTGAGTTTATTAAACTTTCAGAGTTTTGTAACTGAGACAGAATATTTTTACAATATGGAATAGATTCATCAAAGTCGAGAGATACGGGACAAACAATATTATTTAATTTAGAGAGGTGTAACGCTTCTTGATGTTCTTCGATTACAGTATTTGTAGAAATGGAGCCAGTAAATTGTTTTTTAAAATATGATTCGTATTTGAGTTTATTAAGGTCTATATTTGAATTTAAGGCGTATGCGAGAATGAGCATCGGCGTTTGAATTTTGCTTTCCTTGCTTATAAATAATTTCGTAGTCATATTCCTCAACTTGAGGCGCCAACGAATTAATCTACTTCCTGGATCCTTAACATTAAAAAGCCAGACCAAAGGTCTGTGATCAGTGACTATTTTAAATTTATTATCGTAAATATAGGGTCGGAATGTTTTTACCGTGAAGAGTGTAGCTAAACATTCTTTTTCTGTGGTCGAGAAATTGCCTTCCTGTTAATTTAATGTTCTCGAGGCATACGCGATCGGTTTGTCTTTTCCGATAGGACCTTACAATAATACTGCGCCAACGGCATAATTACTGGCGTCTGTAGTGACAATAAACGGTTGAGAAAAATCGGGATATTGAAGTAATGGAACTGAAGTTAGATTTTCTTTTAACAAATTAAAAGCATGTGTTTGTTCTTGTGTCCAATTAAAATTAACATCTTTTTTTTAAATAATGACTTAAAGGGTTTTGTAATTTTTGAGAAGTTATCTATAAATCGACGGTAGTAACCAACTATTT